GTATCTGTCAAAACACAGTTCAATTCACTGTTCCATTAATTAATTAATACCGTACGTCAGATTATATTACATTATAAACCCGGCTGCCACCTTTCGCCTACAAAACATACAGTCAATTCGCTTTACAGCGTACTGTGAGAAGCGCTTTGAGACGTTCTCGAAGACGTGATATGGCGCCAAATCGAATGCAAGGATTATTATTATTATTATTATTTTTATTATTATTATTACTACCAGATTAGCTGTTTTACCTCTCCCCAAAAGCACGCAAACACTTTACGCTGGTTCTGCACCGACAAAATATGTGCGTCTACTTATGTAAAGTCGGGTTCCCTTCACTTCAGACACGCATAGCTAAACAAAATAAAGCCTTTTCCCGATGTTGAATCTCTTTGAGGGTCGAGCGAAGTGATCTGATCTGGACGCTGTTTCACAGACTGACCAGCAGAAGGCATGCACGGACAGCTTAGGGTTAAATTTATTTCCCCCCCCCCGCCCACCCCCACCTTGCATCATTCCTTATACACCAACCAAGTCTGGGGGGGGGGACATTCGTTCGTTCTGTAGTGTTGTTACCACGAGACGCTAACTGCAGTACCGTGCCTGGTTGAAATATTTCGTAGATAACCCGTCTCAGACGTGGGTCAGGTCTCTGCTCTCGTATTTCCCCCCCACCCCCCACCCCGCACCCCGCCCCGCACCCCGCCCCGCTCGCTAGCATTGCGCTCTGTGGGTTGCGAATTTAGTAGCCGTCGCCACTCAGCCAACGTACCACTTCACCTGCAGAGGGTTCAGTCGAGAGCTGTAAGTGACTTGGCTGGAATGCAGCACTCGGCTTTGAGTGACTTTCATAAGAAGAGTGTGATCTGTGTATAAACACAGACCGGGCTCTGGAATAAGATAGCTGCCCCGAGCTGGTGATTATACTTCAAGGACTTCTTCAATTTGTTTGTGGCTTTCTGCCTTTTTAACACAACAAAACATTTGATGGGTTTCCGCCCACCCACCCACCCACCCACTGCATTGCGTGGAACTACTGCCACCAGACCAGGTTTTGTTCCAGGGTTCTTCGCAAACTCGCTGCTCGTCGGCCTCCCCGACTCCTCCCTCCACGGGCTGCAGAGCATCCAGAACTAACTCTGCAGCCCGTGTCCTCTCCCGCACCGGGCTCCGTGACCCCATCGCCCCCATCCGCGCCCGACTTCACCGGCTTCCCATCACACAGAGGACACAGTTCAAGATCCTGATTCCTCACCTGCAAAGCCCTCAATGGCCGTCCCACCATCGGCGAGTGAGCCTTCTGCCATTCTGCCCCACCCCCATCGCGCAGTCCCTAAACCTCGCCCCTTCCCTCGCCTCCTTCGAGACCCATCTCAAGACCCTCCTCTTCGACCGTGCCTTCGGTCACCCTCTTTCAACCCCCCCCTTGCCCTCCACCCACCTTGATCCTGACCCCAGATGGGGTCAGAAACACTGATTGTCCAGCGCCTTGGGATGTCCTCCCGACGTGAAAGGCGCTATACACATGTAATGTTGTTGCTGTTGTTGTTTGAGCTGAGTTCGCTGATTTCAGCCATCGTGGAGCTTGAAATGCTGCTGTTCACCTGAGCTCTCTTGGCGAGGGAGGGGGGAAATCAGCCAAGTTTCCCAATTCTGAATAGGATCCAGTGAGCATTGCTGGAAAGCGTGTGCGGGTGTCAGACGAGGACAGGGATCGGGTTCATCCATTTGGCCCCTAACCTGCTCTCCAGGCTCACTTGGGTAAAACATTGGGCCAAACCCGTAACCTTTCACACATTGCGACCACAGTGTGACCAATAGTTATGTGGTGACGAGGGTGGGAAGGAGGAGGGGTGGAGGGGGAAGAACAAGGCGTACAAAAAGAAAATGATGTAAATGCTGGGTATTTGTTGTAAGCTCTTGTGTTGCTTCAACGCAGGAATGAGTTCATCGCGAGCTCACTGCGCAGAACGCTGGGTCAAGCATCAAAAACTCGCTGCCCCGAATCACAGTATTACTGACTGTCCACAGCCGGAAAGCACTACACGTTGAAGTGAATTTCCTGCAGAATGAGACTGGCAATGAGCTCCGAACGGCACGATATCTGATATGTAATCAGGTTAGCGGTGGCCTTAGAAAGACAGCGAAGGTTAATGTTTGGATAGGTGCGATCTGGTGGTGGAATAACATGATCAAAGCAGGCGAGAGGCGAAGGTGGCATTTGTCAAGGCACAATATGTACTCCAGACTTTGAATTGTTCTGTAGCTTTGGATTCTTATCTGTCTCCTCCGTTGCCTTTCTACGAGGCTGCTGTTTCATGTCAAATGACTGACACCTTTATTCGAGAAAGGACAAAATCGAATTAGACTTCACCAGTGACAATATAATGCACTGGGGAAAGAATAGAAACACATACTAACCAAGCTGACATAGCCAGTCTTTCCCATCTGATCCGCAGATATGAAGATATGATTACGATTTTTTTTTTCTTTCTCTCTCTCTCTCTCTCTCTCTTCTCGCTCTCTGGGCTCGTTCTCAATTTTGCTGCAGACTTAGTTCTGATTTGAGGGTTTGACCTCTCCTCTCACTGCTTTCTCAGGCTGTATTCAATTACTGTTATTCCCTTGAAGTCTACGTGTTCACACGGAATTAATGTGACAAATACAGCGTGGACAAAACATTGCCTATTCCGTGGACGGATGGGGCTGAGCCACCCGGAATTCAATCAGCAACGGACGACATCATTGGCACGTTTCCCTTGGAACACCGTCTTTTAGTTTATTCCCCCCCCCCCCCGCGAAAAAAACAAACACTTATTCCTTTTCAGGGACAACTTCCAACAAAGTGGAAACCCAGGCAGAAATAGTAATAATATAATAATAATAATAATCCTTGCACTTGATATAGCGCTTTTCACTTCTTCTCGACGTCTCAAAGCGCTTCACAGAATAGACTGTAAAGTGAATTGACTGTCCCCACAAACAGCCGTGGGTTGAAAATGGCCAATTTATTATTGTTTTGTTTTTTGGAGGGATTATTATCAGGCGTGCGGAGCAAGGAAACTTGCCCAAGGTTTCACCCCCCTGCCGGGAATTGAACCCAGGTCTCTCGCTTGCAAGGCGAGCGCTCTGACCACTGAGCTACAGGACTCCACAAATAAGAGGCGATAACCCATTCCTCCCCCCACCCCCCCCACCCCCCACCCCCCACCACCTCCACCACGTCACTCAAAGCTAAGCGACGCAAATTTCAACAAGTGTTCCGCCAGAGTATTTTTTTTTGACAACTCCATCACTGACTGACCGACTGAGTGTCCAACGATCGTAAATTAGCGCAGCGGAAAAGAATTCGAAACAATCATATATTTTTGGGGGGTCTTTTATCACTGGCTTGGGATTTATCTCAAACTGCTTTCACCCCCTCCCCTCCTCTCCCCACTTCTTCCCTCCTCTCCCCTTGATCCTTCCGAAATGTTTAACGCGCGTTTTTTTTGGGAATCGGGGGAAACTCTCACTTACTGTGATGAGTGCCGTCGACAATTACTGTCCAGGCTCCTACTACAGGTCTCTTCTAACTCTCCGGTGATGCTCCTGCGGCAGATTGTGTTTCTGTGCAATGATTCTTCCTTCCCGCAGATTTAACCAAACAAAAACACACCCAAAAAAAAAACACACAGTGAAAAATTTCAAACGAAACGCTGACGAACACGTGAGCCGCCAATGGGGATTGGATCGCGCGCAGCAGCAGACATCCCACCACACGATCAGTCAGGAGGAGAGTCACCTCAAGCAGCCCTTCCATTTATTGAGAGCAACACGTCAGTTAATTTGGGGGTGGGGGCAGAGGGCTCGGAAGCTGACTCACTCGAGAGAAAATTACGCAGACCCCGCGGAAAACTCGTTCAAACGGAACAGCGCACGGATAAAATTTCCGTGGGGTGGGGGGGGGAAACCACAGCACAGATTCTGCTCCGGCGTTCCATACACACACACACACACTGGTCACTTTTGTCTGCGGCGAGGGAGTTAGCCCACGCGCGTGATATTCTTGTGATGGGACTAAAGTGCCTGAATTAAAGTTTTTTTTTTTTGCTTTTAATCGGAGTTGTTTGAAACCGCAGGAAATTAATTCAGTGACAAACAAACAAACATTTTAAAATGACTTTGTTGTATGCTTTTAATTAATCAGTTGCCGCAGGCTTAATGTCAACCGAGAAAGAAATGGAGTGTTAAATCTGCAGTTGCTTTTGTCAAAGCCTCATTTACTTCGTATTAAAATCTGTTACCTGCATTATATTCTTATCTGGTATTTATTAATGCACAGTAACAATTTGTATTATTACCAATATCTAGCCTAATGGATTTTTTTCGAAAAACATTTTACCACGTTCTGCTTTCTTGATTCAAAGGTTGTAATTTTGTTATTTTTTCTATTATATTTGAAATACAACAACCGAGCTAACACCAGCTCCGTGTTAAGGCATTGAAGCAGTCATGTATGTCACAGGCATTAAGATTTTGGCAGTCTTTTTTTTCCAAGAGCCTAATACAGAGAAGCAATTCAGTGTCCTTGAGAGCACAAATAAATCCTTCAACTGAAACAAGGTTTAACTAGTTAATATGGACTCTCTTCAAAACTAGCCGGCAAATGACTATTTTATTTTGGTAAAGCTGTGATATGATATGATTTAATTTGTTGGTTTGGTTTTGTCGATAATATAACTTCAATAACGTAGTTGGCGACACAGCTTTTTTTTTCTAATTCTTAATTAACATCATAATTTTTGTTTGCTTTAAAAACAATAAAATGTCTGAACAAAACAAATCTCCGAAACTTGAAATGTCGTAGGTAACATTTCTTTAAACGTCCAAAATTTTCAAACCAAAACAAAACAAATTCATGTGAACAACTGTGTAGCTCAAGCATTAAGTATTAACCTTTAACTTTTGACCTTGCAGATTTTTTTTTAACCTATGAAATGTCTCTTTAAACTTTAAAGGAAGCAATGATAACGAACGCCTGGCGATTGCTAGACAGCGAATCCCATATCGACTTGGTCGAGTAGTTGATGATTGGCTACTCGACAAAGGTAAAACCATTGATTAAAACTTCAACTAAAAAAAAAATAATTTGACACATCAACCAAGCAGTGTTGGATTGTAACACTAATAAAACTTAAACTATAAATTGCCAGTAAAAATTAAACAAAACAAACTGTTTTTAAATGGCAGCTGGAAGTATTTGCATAGTTTGTTTAATAATTCGTTTTCCCTTTTCTGAAGCACAGAGAGTTTAATAACCCATTGCCCCCCATTAACTTAAGGTTAAAGGGACTGTTAAATATAATCTTCTAATGGTGATCGATGTACGAAGTTTAATCCTAGAAACTTAACGAAAAAAAATGCTAAATCCTGTACAGAATATCTTTACTCTCTCTAAATTTAGTAATTAAATGCTGTACGATTAGCTATGATCCTTTCGTTTTGTTTCTGCAAAAAACATGTCCTTTTAAACAGCAGATAACTTAAATAGTGCTTCATGTGGATTGGCATCGAAAAAATCCGAAGTCCCTTTAACGTTTACAGCACTTCGAGCATTTGGGAAGAAGTGTAGATTGAAAAAGAAGTTAACGATAGAAAAAAAAGGCGTTTTGCTGCATGTTTTTTTTTGCTGGGCAAAAAAACTGATCTTTTTTCACTTAAAAAACAAGTACCATAGATTATTTTCTCAAAAAAAAACATACATAGATATATATGTAGACACACCGAGAAGTGGTACCTGTTGCCAGGGTTTGCTCTGTTGGAGTGAAATGTGCCGCATAATCTTCTCATTCTGTGTGTGTGTGTGTGTGTCACTCGTTCGTCCGCATCTGCATCGCGAAGACGATCTCAAATGCACGCGCATCATTGATCTCTGTCTGTCTGTCTGTCTGTCTGACTGTCTGCCTGCTGTCTGTGTCTGTCTGTCTGTGTCTGTCTGTCTGTCTGTCTGTCCGTCCGTCCGTTTCTGGCACTGATTTGCTTGCACTTCAAATCTTTTTTTTTCCGAAAAAAAAAAGTTTTGCTACCGGGAAAAAAAAACTTTACATTTTCACGATGGCTTTCTCATTGCAACACATAGGGAACCTCACGTCTGATTGCCCTTTCAGCAAAACATCACCCCCACCCCTCCCCTTTGCCCCCCACCCCTACCCCCCCTTTACCCCCCCACTTTACTCCCCCACCCCACCCCCCTTTACCCCCCCCACCCCCCCCCACCCCGCCACCCCAAAAAAAGCTTGCTGCAAGTGCACACCGATTGCAAATCGACATCTCACGCTCATTCCACCCCAGAAGCGACAAATTACTCACGGTCCCGTTTCTCGGTAATTTATCGCTGTCGCCGACCATCCCCCCACCCCACCCCCCCACCCCTCGTGTGTTTCTGTTCCTTCGTGTACGTGAGTGTAAAGATTGCAATTCCTGAATCGATGAAAGTCCGCATTCAACATTGTTTTTATGTGTGTAACGATGTTTTCACAGGGCGGCAGCTCACCATCTTCAACAGCCAGGCCACCATTAACATTGGTGGGAAGGACAGGACTCGCCCGTTCCAGGGACAGCTGACGGGTCTGTACTACAACGGCTTGAAGGTACTGAACATGGCAGCCGAAAGCGACCCGAACATCCAAATACAAGGCAGCGTGAGATTAGTCGGTGAAGTGCCCTTAATGACCACGGAGACCACCACCACCGCAAAGCCAGAAATATCGACCACCATCATGGAAACCACCACCACCACCATGGCCACCACCACCACCAGGAAAGGGAGGTCGACGACCACGAGAGACGCAATGACACAGGCAAGTCACACCCCCTCCCCACCCACACCATCCGCACCCACCCCACCATCCCCACCCCCCACCCCACCATCCCCACCCCCCCACCCCCTCCCCGACAGCTTTTGGCTTCCCTTCTCTCTTGCTGTATTTTCGAATTCAATTGCAGAGAACGTAATGTATGCCTTCGTCCTTCAGAGGGGCAAAAGGGGAGATGCTTCTCCTGCTTTAGTCATCTGAAGTTTCGGTAAAAAACATGTTTAATGATTGCAGTGGGATTCTGGCGCTGATTAATCCCCCCCTCCTGGGGTTGGCTTTTCTACCTGTGCCCTCGTGTGACATCAGGGGTCGGGGGCGAGGCGAGACGCGATCGGTCCCAACGCCCAACGTTACCGCGAGTAAACAAAAACCAAAGCGTTTCCCAAGGTCAGACTTCGAAGGCAGGGACAACTGACGGGCCACTTCTCTTCGCCAACGATCCCTTTCTTTTGTCGCCGTTGTTTTCTCCGTCGATTGTACCCCTCTTCGCTTCTCTTTGAAGACATTGACATTTTGTTTGACTAAGTTGGTCGGTCGCCTCCTTTTTTTGCTTGAGCGTTACTGGTGTTGCCGTGTGACACCCGATCGGTTTTGAAAACGGTGACGAGACTGCCCACAGCCACAGGAGGATAGTCCTGGATTGCTGAGAATGGCCGAAGAGAGAACCGGGGAAAGTCCAGACCAGGGAACGTTTCTCTCCAGGGATTGGGTTGTGTCGTATTGGAAATCAGAGCAATTATGGTAAATACGAGACTGAGGCAAAGTTGTACGATATCGCCTCCATGAATCGCCTCGAGTCCACCTTCCCAGCTTCAGATGTGTGCGTTTCATTCCCTTAAAAACCATGTCAAGCCGCAGAGGCTGATACAAACATGTTTGCTTTCTTAAACGTTTGTGCCGCCCTTTGATGTCCAGAACTCCGAACCAGAGCTAAACATTTCCGACATGAAACTGTGTCATCTGCCACTTTGAGCACCACGATCTCTGCATGTATCCGATCCATTATTTAATCAATTAGAGATGATTGAACCCACTCTTAAAGACATCTCTAATTCACTTGAAAAGGTTTTCCCCCCACACCCCACCATCCCAGAGATATCTTTCATTCAGTTAAATTGTGTCCCTGAATAATTAATGGTGGGTGCAGTGAGCAAACCCCCTCCCCCCCCCCGGTTAAGTTCTGGGCAATTTCTTGTAATATATTTCAATGTTTGCCAGTGTTTCTGATCAAAGATCTCTCGCTGTTCGGGTAAAGGGGTGAAGCTTGGTGTGCTTGTGCGATTGAGGAGGATTGAAGAGCGCAGTACATGAAAGACCATTCCAACGCCCCCTTGTGTGGGGTTGTCTCTGGAGTGAAGCCCACTTGTCATCGTTTGCAGAGCAACACTCTTCAGTGTTGGAATCAACAAGATGCAATGAGCGCAGCGAAAACTTGTAATAATAATAATAATAATCCTTGCATTTGATATAGCGCTTTTCACGTCGGGAGGACGTCCCAAAGCGCTTCACAGAACACACTGTAAAGTGAATTGACTGTGTATTTGTGGGCGAACGCGGCAGCCAATTGCGCACAGCAATGTCCCACAAACAGTCATAGATTGAAAATGACCAATTTATTATTGTTTTTGGTTTTGGAGGGATTATTATTAGGCTCTGTGTGGAGTAAGGAAACTTGCCTAAGGTTTCGCCCTCTGCCTGGAATTGAACTCAGGTGTCTCTCTTGCAAAGTGAGAGCTCTAACCACTGAGCTACAGGACTCCACGCTTCAACGCGTGAAATACGCACGGGCTACTTTCCGACTTTCAAAAAGCAACAGAGAGCGCAATAGCTCTCAATACACAATAGCAGCGCGGGAATGCGTCCTTAAGCCACGGTGTGCGCTTTTTACGTCATCGTGGGATCTGATAGGCGACATTTCTTTACGGATTTCTTAAATTAGAAATGGGTTAATCACATTTCGAAAAGGTCAAGCGGACAGAAGAACGCAATTGATAAACGGTAGATTTCCTGTTACGAACGGTGAGAAGGGCCACAAATCGGAGCCAGTCAGAGACAGCTGAAACTTAAATGGCCTTCGTTTTAGTTGAATTAATCTGGATTGTCAGATCGACTGGGCACAAACACGGGTAAGTCACAGTAGGCTGTGCATTTAATTTACAGCGCTTATGTCTTCAGGATTCTCTGCTCCTATGACAGAGCCTTCCCTTGATGTATTAATTTCAACTGCAGCTGTACAACAAAATATCACATTGATTTTTTGTTTCGTCTTGTTTTAGAAGTCTGCGTGTTCAAAGGTAATTTCTTTCTTATATTTGTCACGCAGCTTACACAGGTCATAAGAGGTGTCATCCTCAGTGAGAGGTGGTAGAAGAGAGAAACATTCCACTCGTATTTTATTTCGCTGCTAATCACAGGGTTGGTTGAAATATGAACCAACAAACTGTGACAAACGTTTCTGATTTTTAATCGGGTCAACTTGGGCTTACGCTTCACAAATTGCTCAAATCGCACCCAAATCTGAATTAAGAGTTGTCTTGTGCTCGCCTTTGCAGCCTTTTTATAAATGGATGTATTCGGGAACATGACCTACGTTTATATGCATACATATATATATATATATATATGTGTGGGATCATTTACATAAACCATTATCACCACAGAAATGGCTTGATACATAACACCTAATTGGCAATGCTGAAGCAACACATTTGGACTTGTTCAACGTGGCATGAGATCGACAGGGTTTGGCGTGTGATCCAATTCCTGGAACCCAGCAACTCTTTGTGCACTGTTTGGTCGCTCAACCCACGACTGTTTGCGGGGACGCTGCCGTGCGCGATTGGCTGCCGTGTTTCGCCCACAAAATATACAGTCAATTCGCTTTACAGCATATTCCGCGAAGCGCTTTGAGACGCCTCGAAGGCGTGAAACGCGCTAGATCAAATGCAAGGATTGTTATTATTATTATTATTACCAAATTGCCCACAGAGCGCTCACTTTGCAAAGCCTGATCAGTTCGGGTGCTCCTTCCGCATGAGTTGCACACGCTGCTCAGTCGACTCAAGCGTTCTGGAAGACTACCCCTCGTGAAGGCCACTTTAGATTCGTGCAACCTGTTCTTATCTCGTGTTTACTTCAGAATTTCTCCAGTAAAATAATACTTTATTTGGTACAGTGCCTTTCACGTGCAAGGGCGTAACAAAGTGCCTCACAGGACTTCACCGCAAAATCTAACGACCGTCTGTTGTGTACGGCAACCACGGCAGTCAACTTGCTCGCACCAACGTCCCAAAAACAGGGGGGGGGGGAGGCATTACTTCATTCCGTTCCTCATTAATCTCACGGCAAAATGGTTCCTGAATATCATTTCCGAAACTTGGGAGCTGCATGTAGGTTTGGCAAAGTTTCTTTCGAAAGACACTGGGAATCGGAAATCTGTAATCATCACGTACAGAGCAAAATCATTCCGAAAGCAACGTTCCCAGAATGAATCATGTTCCTTCAGACTATCGTCCTTCACCCCCGCTTGATAGTTTATGCAGTGAGAATTAGCTCAGTTTACAAAACGTCCCCCAAACAGGCTGCAGTGTCATTGTCCTTTAGTTAATTATAACCCATTCCATTCAAGCCTGCATATATTTGCATGACGTCTGTTGTGTGAATGTACTAAAATATTAACAGCTAAAACACAACATGTCTCAGGAAATGTGTTCGCTGAAATGTGTGCACTAAATAATTTGCCTCAATAAAGACTCGACAGCACTTCCGTTAACCAGCAGAAAAAGCACGAAGCTTGGAAGCCAACGGAATTATTTATTGGAGAAAAAAGAACATAGTAGGGTATCAGCCCGGCTCAGTGGGTAAGACTCTTGCTTCTCGGCCAAAAGATTGTGGGTTAAGACCTCACGTCAGGACTTCAGCTCATAGTCAAGGCGAACAGAATTCAGTCCCCACCCCTCGCCCCCAGCCAACTACAGGACCACTGAAGTTGTCATCTCTTCGTTCTGATGAGCACTCCCATTGGCACGTGTGTTAGCAGAGCATTTCACACTCCGGTGGCATCTACAGCTGCTTCAATGCAAAGCTGTATATTTACTCTTGTCGACGTAATGGAGAAGTCCGTCTGAGGGTTTGAAATGCGCTGGTTGAAGCCCGGCGACTCGAGACATTCCCTTTCAGAAGCAACGGGAGCTATTCCGTGCGTCGTATGTGTCACTGAAAATGAGCACTTTACGCCCTTTCATCCGTGTCGATGGGCACAGAGGATCTCATTATTCCTGGCATCTGTTGAGGGGAGCAATAGACAGGGCAAAGCCTTGTAGCAGGGATTGTAAAACACTGGACTCGTCAATTGGACGGTCACAAGGTCAGCTGTCAACTCTGACTGATCCTTGAGTGTGCCCGAGGCTTCCCTAAGCACTGTGACACTCCATGTCTTCAGGTAAGGACTGTTCTTGCCACACAGAAATGTATTGACCGGCCATGATGGATGGACGGCCAGTGATAATAGTGCGATAGGCAGCGGCAAGCAGTGGAGGAAGATTACGAAAGGGAAGACCTTTCGTTTTGTTTATTTTTAAATATCCATCCTCTCTGAAGAACCAGTCACATGTATAATGAACGCAATGATGTTACGAGACGTGTGTTTGAGATACAACGCGAGATTAGTAAAGTTCACCATCGCTGGTTGTGAGTTTCCATTGCTGTAACCGAGGAGTCGCGATTGTGCTTTGAAGCATTGGAACCAAAGCCCGGGAAATATTTTGCATGAGAATTGAGCTTCAGAGTTGAATTGCAACCTTAAAGACTCACCACGAGCCATTTACCAGCTGGGACAGGCTACCAGCAATGATTCTTGAGGCCAGGACACTGGGCAGAAGTTTGATGCGGTAAATTGGAGGCAGTCAGGAATTGCCAGCCAAGTTTATGAAACCAACTCAACGACTCAATGTGTACCCTTGAAATGAACTTTGAATGAATCGTGT